GTGTTGGAGCAAGAAAACCTCTAAAACATGCAGGATAGCGGCCCTCGAGGACAGGAGTTTGACACCCCTGCTCTAGAAGGTGGTGTCTGTGTGTGTGGGGGGCACCTTGTTTGGCTTTAAAGAGACAGCCTCAAAACGAGTTGATCTGAAACACACCTCAGAAAACGGGGTGAAAGAGGGGCTTGTGGAGTTACAGTAAGGAGCTTTTCAGACCAAAGCTTTGCAGTTCTACTTTATATAGACCCCAACTGAATGATATAAATGTGAAAAAGGAATTAAAAGCTTATTAAACCTTAAAATTACACCTTAAAAAATCCAGAAAGTTTCAAGTTTTACCGTTGATTTGAACGTCGTTTTTGAAGCAAATTAAATCAGGTTACAAGTGTTGAAAATATTTTCTTCTTGCTTTTCACTGCTGCTGCATTTCTTCTTGGTTGTGGCTTCAAATTCTGTTTGCTTCTTCTTCTTCTTTTTGAACTAAAATGTTGAGTTTGTGCCAACCGGTCAGATGATTTGTCCCAAGAATTTAAGTGAGGCAGCTGCTTTTCTTACTTCAAAGGTTTGCCAGCTTAATCACTGGACATAAAAAATAAAACCAAAACATTTCACTGTTTTACACTCCAATGATGGAAGAACAGCCTGGACTACAAGGTAGCTGTGATGCTACTTCAGGTAGGTACAAATAAGTACAAAAATAAGATTTGTAATAAACTTTAAGATATTAGAAAACTCTAAAAACCATTTCTGGTCCTTGAGGGCCACCATCCTGCAGGTTTTAACTGTTTTGACACTCTTCATCAGGTCATTTCGGTTTATCTGTTGTGTTTTTAGAGATGCTGAACACTGGTTTAGGACTTTAAGTTTTTTAAAGACATTTTTCAGAGCTCTAAGCTGTTGCAGCTTCATCAAAAAGCAGCTACGCCTCCCTTCTCTCACCGTCTTGTGCTGCGCCTCCATGTGCGCCAGCTGTTCCTCGTAGATGGCAACTTGTTCCCTCAGAGCCAAACACTCGGCTGTCACAGCATCCACTTCCTGCAGGGAGACAAATCAGCTTACCGGAGAGCAACGCTGWAAGTAAAAAATTTGAGTCTTTAATTCAATAAACGTAACCGAAGAAACRTGAAAAGTTGTTGTTTCCAACAGAACACTTGTTCTAGACACCAACACAAACACATCAACACTAATCCACAGGTAGACACTGCAATGCAGAGGAAAGGCAGGAGGAAGACGAGATCAACATAATGTTGCTCAATCCATTTAACAGCAGGGGGTTTCCAGCTCACAAGCCTCTGCTGAAAGAACCAGATTAATCAGTGTTGGAGGAAATTACAGCAGCATTTCTGTTTCTGTGCATAAAACTCAGATATTGTCATCCTGACACAATGTCAGGCGTTTTATTTGATCAGATGAACAAACCTGAAACACAAAAAGAAGCTGCTTCCACATTGATGTTGCCCTTTGAAAGAATAAAGTCCAATATGCGTTTGTTATTCTGTTGCATTGGCAAAATAACTCATAACTAAAGAAATAATTTTAATGCAACTTGCAGATTCATTGGAACAACTTTTAACTTTCAGTGTCAACTACAATCAAAATGGCTGCTGCAGTGCAGCTAATTAACGTTAGCAAACACAAGATTTTATAGATACTGAGCTCAAATTTGGTGAGATAGTAGCTTAGAGCAGTGGTTCCCAAACTTTTCAGCTTTTGACCCACAAAATAACAGTAGCAGAGACCTGAGCCCCCAACTATCTTTGGATGATAAACATTTGTATCAGGTCAACAAAACATGGGCATAGTAACAATATTTTTTATACTACATTTATCCATTTTAAATACACTAACCTTACTCATTTGTAACAACTAAGGCAAAAATGTAACTAATTCAGAAAATCTTTTCAGGACCCCACCTTGATGTTTCGGGACCCCACTTTGGGTCCTGACCCCAACTTTGGGAAACACTGGCTTAGAGTGACACTCCACTCCTAATTCACTAAATGTTTATAAAATGGGAAGAATTATAAAAGTTGCACAAACTTAAAACTTTACAGAAATTGGTGGTCCGTGTAATAATTGGGTTTGAAATAAAAGCCGTGTTGACCTGTTATAAACAAAGAGTTATAAAGTTATAAACTGACCGCTCCATTTATTTTCTTTGTATTAACGATTTGTTTTGCCTTCTTAAATTTATGAGTTTTGACACACAGCAGGTGCAAATTTAAAAAAAGCCAAAGTATACTTTAAAACAAATGGATCATGTTTTTTTTATTTTGATCCAGTGAGAACTCCAGCTTGTTGTGGGTTGATGTCTTGTGTCTTCACTCCTCTCCTCCACATCTCTGCTCTTCCTCCACTTTCCTGCCAATTTCCCACCATGTCCCGTCACCCTGCAGCTGCTTCCAATTCAGAACCGAAGAACGGAGCCAGCGGGAACATTACGGCACCGTGTTATAAAGACTGCGTTACATCTGTAAGGCAGAAATTAAAGCCTCCCTCGCATCTGGTCTGGCTGCGGGGAGAGACGGGTCCGGGCCCGTGTGTGATGGATGGAGCTGGAGGGGAGGGTGGGGGTGTGTTGTGGAAAAGTTGGTGGTTCAGGTTTCAGTGCAACTCAACACTGGTTAACACAAGAAGAGAAGCCCACTGAGACAGGAGGAGGTCGAAACGTTTGACACCACCGCCCCCCAGTGGTCAGAGCCCTTCATCACAGCTGGAGCTTCACCATCTTTCTTTATTGCTCCTTCTCGTTTTATTCCAAGTATTTTGAGCTCTGATTTAATATCTTCGCTTGTAATTTTGTAATGATGTGTCATCTTCACCAAATCTCCACTGAAATGAAAAAAACTAATCTCAGGGGTTAAATAAAAGCYGATTCTTCTACTTAAAACGTCATCTGATGAGCTTTTAATACATTATATCTGTAAAATAACATGACTGGGAGCATAAAGCATGAAAAGTTGAATATTCCTGCTACTGAAGATGCAATAAAAAAATAAATGGTTGTATAGTGGTAAATCTATGGTTCTGTTTTTCAGTGAAGGTCCTCAAGTTGTTACATCTGGTGGATTTGGTAGTTGTTAGTTGAAACGCTGCTAAAGGATTAAAAACTACTTTAAGATGTTACCGAATACAAAGTGTGGCAGAAAGTGCGTTGGTCTTTTCTGGTCGGCTGTTTCGTTTTGTATCAAGTCCAAACAAGGAGTTAAGGTTGAGAAACAGAAGCATACAGGTGGACCGAGGAGGGTCGATGTAATTAAAATCAAAAGCAGAAATATATAAATGGCCCAAATAAGTAAATATAAATGATTAAAATGCAACAACTAATTTAAAAAAGGAAGAACTTTACCTCGTGTTTTATCATTTAACTGACCTTTATGTTTATTTTTCTGGCTTATTTTCAACAAATTACATATTTTAGCACATAATTTAAATTTGACAGTTTTTAAATACATATTTTGTGTTTGTTTTTCTTTTTACTTGCATTTGTGTCTCTTTAATG